TTTCTCCCTAGACTAAACATGTTATTGTGACAAACTTATAGATTGTTTGGTATAAATTTCAAAAACGTTTAATTTGACACCTTTTAATGGTCAAGGAAGTATGCTATTATGATAACTGATAAAAATTCATCTGAGAAACTTTGAAAGGGGCTGTGGTGGTCCTAAAATTTAATTTTTTTTTTTTTTTTTTTGTATTACAGCAAGAAGTTGAACACTACAGGAGAAGCAAGGAGATCACAGTTAAGGGTCGAGACGGTCCCAAACCCATTGTCAAATTTCATGAAGCCAACTTTCCAAGTAAGTTTAAAATTAATTTTGTTTTTAAATGGTGTTTTTTTTTTATGTTTGAACTAAACCTTTTAAAAAAAATTTGCAGAGTATGTGATGGATGTCATCACTAAACAGAACTGGACTGATCCAACCCCTATCCAAGCTCAGGGGTGGCCAGTTGCACTGAGTGGCAAAGATATGGTTGGCATTGCACAGACTGGATCTGGAAAAACACTCTCGGTATGTTTGTTGAACAATGATGTCTTAAATTGTCTGACCCAGAGTCATTTTTAACTGGTTTTAATGAGATTTTTAATGTTATTCCCTGTAGTACCTGTTGCCTGCTATTGTTCACATAAACCACCAACCATTCCTGGAGCACGGAGATGGGCCCATTGTAAGTTCAGTAAAGTGAAGCATATCCGAATCAGTTTCTTACAATGAACATGTTTAATTGTCTTGTTTATTTTTTTTTTTTAGTGTTTGGTATTGGCTCCCACCCGTGAGTTGGCACAGCAAGTCCAGCAGGTGGCAGCAGAGTATGGGAAAGCTTCTCGTATAAAGTCCACCTGCATCTATGGAGGTGCTCCCAAAGGACCACAGATCAGGGATCTGGAAAGGGGTAGGAGTGGGATCAAACCTTATTTACTTTTGAAATGCTTTTAATGGTGTACTCTGGCTAATTTGTTTTTTTTTCTGCCAATTCAGGTGTTGAGATTTGTATTGCCACACCTGGAAGACTTATCGATTTCCTTGAAGCCGGAAAAACAAATCTGCGCAGATGCACATATCTTGTACTTGATGAAGCTGACCGGATGCTTGACATGGGATTTGAACCACAAATTCGAAAAATCGTGGACCAAATTAGGGTATGCAAAATTATTATTTTATTGTAAAAGATTTTTATAATTGCTAGCTCATTAAATTAAAACTAAATTGTTTCCTTCTAAAGCCGGACAGACAGACACTCATGTGGAGTGCTACATGGCCCAAAGAGGTGAGGCAGCTGGCTGAGGACTTCTTGAAGGAGTATATACAGATCAATGTTGGTGCTCTGCAGCTCAGTGCCAACCACAACATCCTCCAAATTGTTGATGTTTGCAATGATGGCGAGAAAGAGGACAAGTGAGTGCCAGGAATATTTAAGCTACTGGTTTTGATGTCTGTTAGCGGAATTCATGAATTTAAAAAAAATGTTTTGTTTTTTTTGTTCAGACTGATCCGTCTGCTGGAGGAAATCATGAGCGAGAAGGAAAACAAGACAATTATCTTTGTGGAGACCAAAAGGAGGTGTGATGACCTTACTAGGCGGATGCGCAGGGATGGGTAAGCTTTTTTTGCTTTGCGATGTCATTGCTTCAAATGTCAAATGGTGATTTTTATAATTTTTTTTTTTATTATAATTTTTATTTTTTGATGTAGGTGGCCAGCAATGGGCATTCATGGAGACAAGAACCAGCAAGAAAGAGACTGGGTGCTCAATGGTAAGGGTCTGCTATGAAGATCTTGGATTTTTAATCTTCCTTGATTTAAAACATGTTCTAACTAGTTTTCACTCCCTCAACAGAATTTAAATACGGCAAAGCGCCCATCCTAATTGCCACAGATGTCGCCTCCAGAGGACTAGGTTTGTTATTTCATCTTAATCTGTCCTTTATCATTTTCATATTGTGTTTTTTCTATAAAGTTCTGCCGTTTCCTTTTAACTGCTGTGCCTTTCTGAGCCCCTCTCACCTGAAGGTGGAGTCTTGGAGGCAGGACCTTGGCATGACGCGTCCAGGTTCACCAGGAGGGGGTAAGGAGCTCCTCTGTGGAGTTCTGTATGTCTGCCAGCCAATCAAATTGCATTCAGAGGTGGTCGGAGCTCCGTGATTGGGGCGTAATCCATGGGGCGACATACCACGGAGGAGTGCGGTGCCGTTGGGTGGCTGCACTTGCGTCCTGCTCTCGCGCAACAGCTTTGGACTGTTGAACTTTAAGTTAAGGACTGGGAATTTTCTCAATAGGAACTGCGCTGACTTAAATTTAAGCGTTTTTTCCATCGAGAGCAGTTGCTTTAATCCACATGCCTTCCGCACTGAATGCGATTACCCGGCTGGTCGATGCGTGCCCTCTTTTGCTGGCTTCAGTCATGTCGAGTCCTGCCAAAAAGAATCATATTTTCTTTCAAGTGAGCACCGGTTGGTTGGAAAGCTTGCGTCAGCCTTAAATTTAAGCCCTTAATCGGTCTCGTTTTTGAGCAAGTTGAGTCTTGGCAAGATGCAGCAGTTTGTCTCGTCACTTTTTTAATAGAGGACTATGTTAATTATGTGGATCCTTAAAGTCCTGATTTTTAACCATCCTTTCCTCAGCATGGTAAGTCGATGACCTATCATTCGTTGCTTCCCTTGCTAACGTCTCTTATCCTCGCTGCTATGGCGGTGTGCACCCGCACTCCACTATTCCTGCCATGGCACGCCCGTTTTGTCTTAACAGATGTGGAGGACGTCAAATTTGTCATTAACTTTGACTACCCCAACAATTCTGAGGACTACATTCACCGCATTGGCCGAACAGCTCGCAGTCAGAAAACGGGCACAGCCTACACATTCTTTACGCCCAACAACATGAAACAGGCTCACGACCTCGTCTCAGTCCTCCGAGAGGCCAACCAAGCCATAAACCCCAAGCTCATCCAAATGGCTGAAGACAGAGGAGGTAAATCCAATTGGTGAGATACATGAGCTGTGGTTTAACTGCCACAAGTTCTGTCCTTTTTTACAAGCCCCTCTAAAGGGTATGGCTCTGGTCCAGATCTATTTGCCAATCCCAGCTTGACTCTAGTTTTTTCTTCCAGGTCGTTCAAGGGGAGGACGAGGTGGAGGGTATAGGGATGACCGCCGGGATCGCCACTCTGGCAGCAGGCGGGACTTCGGCAGCTACAGCCAGGACAACCGTAGTGGTGGTGACTCTTACGGCCAAAAGAAGGTGTTTGGAAACAAAACGCAAAACGGGTCTAGCAGTTACAACAACAGCAGCAGCAGTAGTAGCAGCTTCAACGGAGGGGGTTACAACAACAATGGACAGGGTAACTTTGGCAATCAGTCTGGGGGTTACGGAAACCAAGGTTATCAGAACCAACAGTTCCCTCCCAACCAAGGAGGTGTCCAGAATGGCATGAATCACCCTCCACCATTCCCTTTTAACCCCCAACAGATGCCACAGACCATGCAGTTCCCCATGGCCCCTCCTGCGTTCCCTCAGTAAATGCAGTTTTCATTTGGTAATCTTAATCTTGTTCCGTTTATGTATCTATTTCTTCAAAGCAGGTTGTAAAACATACATGCTGTCTCAAGTGTCCCAAAGTCTGCTGTGCAGGAATTTTTTTTTTTTTTCCACCCCTTCCTTTTTTTGTTTAGTTGTATTTTTTTTATTAGTAACTTAAAGTTATTTTGTACCATGTAGAGGTAATTGAAGGATCTACACGAGTAAATGTCAAAGGCCGTTCATGGTCATTGCATGGTCCTCAAATAAAATATTAAACCACTTTTTTTTTTGTGTATGTTCATTCATGCTGCAACCATTTAAAGTTCGTATAGCTTATGCTTTTTGTTGCCTCCATACAGTTGCTTTAGTTGTGACTATTCTGCTTTATTCCAGGTGTGAGTAGATGCTAAATGGAAAATGTTAATTGTTTAACAGTAGTGTTTTCACTATTCTCAGTTTGGAGGTTTTCTTCTGTAAAAGGTTTGCATGTAAACACTTCTGCATAATGAAAAGTTTTATAAATTATTACCAACACCATTACTTTTGCGTGAGTGTATATTTAGTTGCACAAAAATACATCCCACCCACATATTAAATATAAGTGCACAATTAGATAAAACTTGAATATCTTTTAAAGGAATCTGTATTGGCATTAATTTGTGAGAGGGGGTTTCTACTTTTAAAGTTTCAGTGCCTAAGTTGAGGGTTTAATACAAATTTGCATGGAAACAGACAAATTAGATGGTTTGACTTCATTATATTTAAATGCACACAAACACCATAGGTCTCGAACTAAATTTCTAAAACTCAAGTTTTGCTCCAATCCTGATCAAACACGACTGATCCAACATGACTCTTGAACACCTTAATTAGTTGGATCAGCCTTGTTTGATAGGGATGGAGAAAAAATTGCTGAGCTGTGGCCGTCCAGGAATTGAGTATGAGATTTACGATATACACACTATATCAGGGGTGCTCAAAACTCGGTTCATCTTACCTCAACATACCTGCACAGATGTTTCTAGAAAGCTTAGCAAGAGACAAGCTCTTTATCGCTCTACAGTTTGCTCCAACTAATCAAAGTGTTCAAGACTACTAGAGACTTGTAGTTGTAGGTGGTTGGAGCTAAACTGCAGAGCTGTGGCTCTCAAGGAATTAAGTTAGAGACCATTTATATACCACTTTTGAAAATTTTCTTAACCAGATTAGCAAGATTATAAACAATGGTCTTGAATGTTATTTTTACGTTACACTTTAAGAAATAAAGGTACAAAGTCTATCACTGAGGTGCTATCTTTTCAAAAGGTACATTTTTGTTCCTGACAGGTTCTTAAAGGTACATTAGTACAAATGTGTACATGAACCTAAATATACAAGAGTGAACCCTAAAGTTACTAATGTGCACCTCTGATGTACAAAAGTGTACCTTTTAAAAAGGTACTACTACCCCAGTGACCGATTTTGTACCTTTATTTCTGAGCGTACATGCGTAAGCAGTACACCAGACCTATTTGTCCTTATACTGCAAACTAAAGCTAGTAACTGAAGCACATCAAATGAGAACACGTTTTTATGAGAAAGAGGAGTGAGTGGGTGTGTGAGTTCAACTTTTTTTTACCTACAAGGAAGTCGCGTTCATTTGGTTACTTGTGCGAATGAAGTCGGGCAGCTGCCAGGAGTGAACAGGAACGCTACATGCTTTGAAGACAAACGAACTGACGGACACATGCAGGAGGAGCAGCATGGGAAGGTCATACCTGTCTGTCAGGTAAGATACTGCGAACAAGTGTTGAGCTGGAGTGTGAGTTTGTTGAGTTTTCTGAGGATTTTGTGTTGCACGTTATTGTTAATCACTTCAAAAGCTGTCAGGTTTGTTTAAATGGCTTTTTGAACAATGATTACTTTCACGCTTCTTCGTGTGAATCTAGAGTAATTAGGCTGTAACGTGTTACAAAATAAGGGATGGATGTCAGTACAGAGAGCAGGAAGATTGATTTAAGTAATGGTAGGTGCAAGTAACAATTAATTAAATTAATCAACATGAATATTGTGCCAAACTATTCTGAAAGCTGCAGGAGATCTCCAGAAATGCTAATTAAAAATGTAGGTTTTCTTTATTTTTACTTTAATTTTAGGTGGAATATATCTAGTTTTATAGACTACAGTGCACGATGTTAAGTGCACAACACACAAAATTATTTTCTTTGGCGTGTTGAAAAAGTTTAATGTCTTCCTGAATGTGTATGAAGGGATAAAACAATATTACTCTGACGTGCTGTTAAATCCTGTTTGTTATTGAGGTAATTGGACGTTTAACCAAAGATATGCCGTTCATTTTAAAAGCTACCGTAAATGTGAGATTAGCCTTCTTAATCATTTGGACACAATTAACGTTACTTGTATTAAAACAAAACAGTGATGAATGAATTATGTCGTTTGTTGATTCTTCTTTTATTTCGAAATAAGTGAAAAAGTTTTCAGCGGTTTATTCCGCTGTGGCGACCCTTGATAAATAAGTGACTAAGCCAAAGAGAAATTAATAAACATACGAATGTAAAAGTTTTCATGATGAGGAAACACCTGCTTAAAGGGATAGTTCACACAAACATGAAAATTAGCTTGGCACAACTAATGTTTTTCAGCCAATGATAATCTTCCAGTAAAGACTTAATCGGAGTATTATAGAAAAATGTGCAGTGTTGGGAGTAACACATTAAAAACAACGCGAGTTTCATAATAATATTACTTTTCAAAATTTAAGTAAAAATATTTGAGTTTTTAAAAATGCAGTACAAGTTACTTTTTAGTTTAGCTCATTAGCTTTTTAAAAAATAGCTGGATTTTAAAATTATAGCATAATCTATAATTTGTATATACAGCATGTATAGCTCTGGGGTCAAACATAATTTTTTTGACGTGTTTTTTTTAAAGCTTAATAAAGTATATGTCGCATGCTGAAAGTTAAGAAAATAAACAGGGTTCTTACGGGTGCTGGAAATCCTGAAAAATGCTTGATTTTTAATATAGTGTTTTCAAGGTTAGAAAAGTGCTTGGATTTTAGACAAAGTGCTTGAACCTGCTTGAATTTAAATTAGCAGGGTTCGAAATTGTGACTGTTTTGGTTGCATATGCACACGATTTTATCTATGTGACCTCAAAATATATTTGGGAGCATATGTGCGAGTGCATAAATTGTTGTCGTGTGATCAGTTTTCATTGCAAAATGTTCATTGCATGCGCGTATTTACGGAGCTAATAATAAGCCAAAACAATCTGAATTTGAATGGTGTTAAATTTATTTATTAACAACTGTAAGTTAATAAAACTGATTATGTCCTATTAGAAATGTTTTGAATTTGTATTTCTTAACTTGATTATTGAACATCTGAAATTTAAGACAACCTAATTTTTTAAGTCAAATTTTTTAGACATAATTTTAAACTTCAGATTTTTAGGGAGTTCTGAATTCAAAGACTGCAGATATTGGGTATGTAAAAATAAAGTTTTAAGTTTTTAAGAATTTAAAATAACACAATTCAAATTCAGATCGTCTTAGCACTATTAGTTTCATATGTATTTAGGAGACATTCACCCAGAATGCATCTTTGCACCTGAAACGCCAAACCAATGACTGTAAAAAATAACGACTGGTCATGAAAGTTTGGTACTACACCCAAACAAAATCTGACTATAAGCTCATTTTTTGAGATATCAACTTTAGGTAGAAAGAGACCAAACTTAAAAACATACTTCATCCAATTACAACTTTTTATTTAATTTAATTTTTAATAATTTTTTGGGTGAACTATCCCAATAAATCTATGCTCTGAAGTACTCAACAATTGAAGTTGAAATGTCATATTGTGTTTTTTAAAATAGCACAATGGATTTAAATGTGAAAAAGTACATACAGCATAAATAAACAGAATTAACCGTGGTTATTAGGTGCTGGAAAAGCATATAAATGCACCTTGAAAGTGCTGGAATTTGAAGTTGGAAAAGGTGTAAGAACCCTGAAGAAATCAAGCCTCACCTAGGTCAGAAAAATTAATGGAAAAGTAACCCCAAAAGTAGCGCAACCAGTTACTTTTTGGACAGTAACTCAATATTGAAATGTATTACTTTCTAAAGGAACTTTTCCGCAACACTGACAATGTGTTTTAATAATAACACAAACACACACACAATTGTGTATAGATATCTTTATATTTAATCCCCTCAATGCAATAAAAGGTACACAAACAGAGATTTTCCCATCAGTCTATATCAGGGATGTCAAACTCTGCAACTCTGCACAGTTTAGTTCCAATCCTGCTCCAACACACTCACCTGTAGGTTTCAAACTAGCCTGAAGGACTCAATTAGTTTGATCAGGTGTGTTTAAATTGGGTTGGATTTAAACTGTGCAGGGCCGCGGCCCTCCAGGAATTGAGTTTGACATCCCTGGTCTATATGAACATGTTTGATATGTGTTGGTGCATTATTGTGGTTCTAACAAACCTCAGTACTCATGAAGGTGAGAATGACCTTTTTAAAGTGCTTATAAATCTAATTTATTATTTGGAGATAAATTTGCATAAAATCATGTGAAGTGTTTTCACATGTGCAGTTATTTGTTTGATGTGTGACCTAATTTCAACTCAAACATGAAGACCGAGTGGGAAATAGTTGCAGTGGCTGCTCTTTCTTTTAAAAAACAGCCAATAGCGTTAAGTTTTCATCACCGCTCTTTCAGTGAGAGTGATTGAGCTCAAGCGCACCAAATGAAAAGCAAATGAGAACCGTTTGAGGGGGTGGGACATACCAGATACCAAAGAGCAATTGAATGGTCAGAAGATGTGATGATGAGAAACTGAAGTATGAGGTGATGAGGAAAAAATCGTTGATTCATTTAGGTGGAAGTAATGAACAGTAAGCATTCGATGTTTATATCGTCTCAATGCAAATTTTGTCAGTGTACACCTGTCGTTCACTAGATAGAAAACTTTACAGTACTTTATAATACTACAATTCCTAATGAAAAACTATTATATATAGCACATTTTCAGTTGTGTAGCAAGCAAAACTTGTCATAATGTGAAATATTTCATGCATGTAAGGATCGCTGGTCTTACTCTCCCATGTGCTTTGTTCTAAAGCGAGTACTGTACAGTATGCTTAGTGTTTGGCTGGCAGCATGCAGGAATTACACTTATCGCTAAGCCTTATTTGCATGCTGTTTCAGACCGAATATTCAGAGTAGCATGGTAAACAATATAGGGAGCGCATCACAGATTGTCAGTGTTCAAAAGTGAACCAATGTGAATGTAAATCCAACTTCACCTCAGTGAAGCAGGCTTGGTAGAATAGCGCTGTTTACTTTTGTTTTGTTATTAAACTAAATCAAAATCTACATTATCAATGTTTAAAGGGACTAAGCCAAAAAGAAAATCAATGAATTATCAATGTTGTAAAACAGAGGTGCCCAAACTTTTTCTTATCAAGGAGAAAACTTGATTCAAGCTAGGGGGCCAAATTTAAATATAGTTTCCATGGGTAATTTTCTAATTTATTTAATATTTAAAAATGACTAGAAAACATTGCCTTATATTAACTAATGCAGTATTTTTTGCATTGTTTTGTTTTTATTGTATTAAGTTCATTATACAATCTTATTCTATCAGCATTACACAAGTGCTTGCCTTGATTTGCTTGCCGATTTCTTCTCTATCTGTCTAGTGACAGTATTGACATTTTTAAAAATCAGATTTATTTACATTAAATTTATGCATTTAATTTCAATTTGCTTTTTGTAGCTCCGAAATAAAACAAAAGAGGTTATGTAAAAAAAAAAGGTTTCGTCTAATTAGAAAAGACGATCTCTGGGTTAAAGGCATTTGCCTCAACCCTCTCCATCATTCTCACTCTCCTCTCAGATGGGCCAAATCAAAGCTTACAATGGGCCCAATTCTGGGCACCTTTGTTGTAAAAGTGTCCTTGTGATATCGTTTGCTGGAAGATTTTAGTGGCTGAACAAAACTTCTGTGCTCATAACCCATTTAAAACAACACAATCTACATAAGCTTTGCATGATTAAAATGGTTTTAAAACAGAACATCACCTGTGTAAAAGAAATACTTTAGCCATGGTGTCATCCTTCCTCTAGCTTGCAAAAGTAACTACATTATTGAATTAGGAAATTGAAAAGGTTTTGATTCTTCATTTATTGTTACCGCAGTCAACGTGGTGCGCATGCACATACAAACAACGGATCTGCATGAACGGCTGCAGATGTTCAAATCTAAATTTGTTGAAGACAATTTGGGCTACTTATCAGAATTGTTGGCCTGGTAAATTTTAATTGGATAAACATTTTTTAGTCTTATGCCTTACCCAGAATAGAAATACCTTTAGATCGTTTACTTTGATCATTAATATTAGAATGTGAAGAGACTTTCAAACAGCATAACAAAAATGTTTCTGGAGACAATCACCTACTGCACCAAAAATTTGCATTGTAGTTTCTCAGGGACTTTAACTGCATAATTTAGGCAACAATAAAAGACAATAAATATGAAAAAAATATATTAAAAAGACAAATAAAAGTTAAATTTTTATAAATACTCTAGACTTCTATTCCAAATCATGTTTGTGATCTACCTACATTGCAATATTTCAAAATCCACCTTAACAGATATCTTTTCCAATCTAGTTTTTCTGTTCTTGTCATGACTTGTTTGTGGGTGAAGTGTCGCTTTAAGAGGTTGAAGAATGTGCATTATTATATGT